CATGGCAGCTATTAAATGTAACTGTCCAAGATGCAGTCTGCTCATTCAAATTAACTTTAAATCCATGATTTAACAGAAAGTGGGAGGAATGTGCCCTAGTTTTAGACTCTTCTTTAGCTTCCTCTGAACCATGGTCAAGGACAGCATTCAGGATAATGGCAGGACTATTCTTGCAAGTTGGGGACCTTGGGTTGTTTTCTCCAGAAAGGAGATACACATTTCAGTGCATATTTCTATAGTTTTTAAAGTTTGGACTGAATGTTACTTCTTACATTATTCAGGCTCCTGTCTGTTTTAGGTAAGCAGATAATCCACAGATGTTCATTAGGAACTCACAGTGATCAGGGAAGTTGGATCTTTTACTGGAGTCCTCTAGTCTTTGAGCAGCTATGCAAGTCTTGAGTAGGAATTATGCATTTATTGATGTTCATTAGGAACTCATAGTGATCAGGGAAGTTGGATCTTTTACTGGAGTCCTCTAGTCTTTGAGCAGCTATGCGAGTCTTGAGTAGGAATTATGCATTTATTGTTGCACACTCAACTTACAGAATGGATCCAACTGATGCTTCAATTTTGTATTTCTGGAAACTTCATGCTGCAGTGTTCTCTACTACTTTTCTGATGTCAAAAGTATATCATAAGCAGCTTCATTATGTGTCAGACAAGATAGATTTTTGCGTCACACACATAACTGCTTATCAGACAAGATAGACTGAATAGATTCTTCCTCTCCTTGATAAGGATGATGTTTTGGGGTTTTTTTTGTTGCATTCTGTTTTTTTTATTTTTATTTCATACTGGTACAGATAGAGGACTTTGGTTGAATACAGTCTTATTTAGATTTTGATTTCAGATAATTAGGGAAGAAAAAATACCAGAAATTACTTCTTACACAAATTCTTTTTATCTGTACCTTATTGATAGACGGCAGGCTCAGCCATTTTTTTGGAATCAGTATGTTGGCATGTGTTTGAGGCTTATATTCCAAGTTTATGTCAGTATGTTATTATTTCTGAAAAAATGTGGCTGGCACATAGTGAATTATCCAGTTGAGTTCTTCAGGATCAAAACAAATATTTACAAATACATCACAGTCCTTTCTCCGCTGTTCTTTCATTTGTCTATTATCTGTTTCTGGAAGGAGTAGTAACGCAAGACTGGGGAGCTGGTGTGGATGGGCTGGAATTTCTGGGAGAGAGATTAATTTCAGTATTGAAAGCAGATAACTATTTGATTTTACTTTAGATTATTAAAATTCTACTTGGGTTTCAAATCCTAGTGTATTTAGTAAAGAAAAAAAGCTAATTTATTAGCATTTTCATTTATGGATAATTCTGTTTTGAGTTGTACTTTCCCATGAGTAGTTTTAATATTGGTGCTATCTATTCCAGGAGAAGAGAAAGCAAAGATTGCTTTTGGGTTGGGGGTTGGGAATTTACTTAAGCATGAATCCCTGAAGAGCAGAACCACTTGAGTTCTGTTTAGCATTACCTTAATTGGTTGAAATGTTTCAGGAGATAGTTATTGTATAAAATATCTTCCATCATTTAGAAATTCATGTGAAATTATTTTAAGAGTATGAATTGTAAGAGTTACCTCAGTTACTAGTTCACAATTTTTGAACTGTGGAAAAAAAATGCGTAAGTTTTGGGATGAACGTTAGTTCTTTTTATAACTAACTGCAGTATTTTGAGATATGCACATAATTATTACTATATCTATACAGTGTAACAACATTTCAGTGGAATTACCCTGGCTCTTTAGCAGGATATATGCCCTGATCCTGAACTCTTGGAAAATATTTTCTGATTCTGTTAATAAGTACAGCAATACAGATTGTTAACGCCCAGGGAAGCCTGTGTTTTACCTTTACTGCAAATCTGGTTTGCAAGTGAGTGCATATGATGACATGTACATCCTTTCCATTCTAGACTTCCAGAAATCAGCAAACACTGTAATTAAATTTTGCTATTATAATCCACATTTTGTATCTGTTTGAACAGCAAAATCTAAATGAGTGAAGTCTACAGATTCATAAGGTATAGGCTTATATTTCAGATTTGGTTCCTGAAAATATGTGCTTTTCCTGGAATAAGTTCTGAGAGGGTGTGCATTGGTCAGAAATAGGCACAAGTTCCCAAGCTCTAAAGATCTTAGTACTTCATAGCTCTTCCCAGGTGGATTTCAGCCTAATTTGACACATATATTGTAGTTGACCTCAGACAGAATAATTCAGATGTTTGAACCTCTTAGATGTGTAGCCAAAAGCGAATTGTCTTCTTGCATGTATTTTTAAACATCTGCAAGCTGAGCTGGGAAGTAAAATGCAAATTCTAGGACTTGAAGATACCTGTGAGGTTATGAAAATTCCCTTTGGGACTGTGGGGAATCCTGGGGCTTACGAGCATGCTTTTTTCAGGCACGCTGTATTTAGAAATTTAGTATTTGCTTTCATTTCTGTTAACTGAAGTACAAATGACAATAGAAGTAGCTCATCAATAATTTAATAGTAAAGATAATATCTTTTGTTGAACCTTTTAATGCATATTCCATGAGGACTAGGGGAATCATTTCCTGCAGTTTGTATTTCTGCTATGTTTGGATATAAGAATCATTTATTGTTCATGTATGCCCCAAAAGATTAATATTGTAGCCAGTTAATACCAGCAGAACTGTTTCTCTCAGTAGCTCTCTTTTACTCAGATAAGTGCCAATACATAGACAAATGAGGTTTCCAATATATGCAGAGGAAATCCCATGCCTTTTAGTTAGGAATAGGAAGGGGCTAACTTCCCAGCTCATAATTGTATGATCATGTGGGGTTTAGGTGGGGAGTTTTGAGTTAGCACTTTGAAACTGTTGGCTACTATAATGATGTGTTCATTGTTTTAGCTTGATTATGTATATATATTTATATATATGTATATAAATGCCCTACTTCAGTTATTCAGTAACTTTTGCTTGAGATAATGCATTCTCTGACCATGTTTCTTTAAAAGCAGTGCAGGGAAGCCTGCATTTCAGTAGGATGCCACACATCCACCAGTTGACCTTTGAGGGAGAATGGTATTTAAGCATTGATTTTTGAAATACTTACATTGCCTGTAACCATGGGTTTGGTTCCAGGAAGGGATTGTTTGGTCCTTTGCTACTATAAAGCCTATAGCATGAGCTCTGCTCAGGTGGGGTTTTTTTTTTCTGTGGAGGTTGTTCTCTCAGCTACAAAACCACAGTTGCTTTTTCTGTAATGGTAAGCTCTTGCTTTTAGCCAAACTCCTGTTTAGTCATAGGTTCATAATTTGGACCAACCCTCTTCTACCAGCCACCCTGAACAAAGTTGCCTTTCAGTGGCTGATGAAATGACTTGGTGCAGTGATATATCAGCTACTTGAAAAGTTGCAATCTGTTTTCAGGATCATTGCAAGCATTGACTAAAACAGTAAAAGATCTCTTGTGGTAAGGAAATGGGTGTAACCCACAATGTTTTAGATGACTTTGCATCATGTGCTATGACACAACTAGAGGAGGTTCAATACTTTCCTTACACTTGCTTAGCTCCAGTCTATAAAGTCCTTTGTTGTAAAAGCTGTTGTTTTGTGAAAGTGAACGCAACAAACCACACAGGCCCCTGCAAGTTTGTGAGCTGATATGGCATCCCCATACAAGATCTGCTGCCAGTACGAATCTGCAGACAGGATCAAGCATCCTATCAGCTCTCCACAGCAATCCCTTTTCTTCTGAAGATCTTGTTTTAAAAAATAGACAAATATGTTAGTCTGGGATACTAAGTTTTCTTGGCTTTCATTTTTATCAGGAGAGTTGAGTGTATTGCTTGAGGAAGCAGTAGAAATTTCTATGTTTTGTATAATACTGGGGTCATGTTTGTCTCCTCATCTTCAGCAATGAGGCGTGCAGGAGCTACTTCTCTGAATTGGTCTTATTTCACTAAACAATATCTCATATCCTGGCAGTGATAACTGAGTGTGGTATCTTTTTCAGTCAATGGACGTGAGGAGCTGCGGTTATGATCTATTTCCCATCTGTGCCATGGGATTTAGCGGTCTTTCTCCCATGTGCTTCAGTAAAATGTTGGCCTTGAGCTTCAAAAAACTTCAGGTGGAGAAAATACAGAGAAATAGCGTAGCTCCATTCCATAAAGCAAAATACCCAGCAACAAGATCCAGATGGGAATCTGAGCATTAAAACCACCATGTTTAGGAGTGGTGATTGGTACATCAGCAACCAGGAGTAGGAAGTGGCCTTAGCTGGTGTAAATTAAGTGAAAATGATAAGAGTGTAGTAATTTTCTGAACCAGAAGAAATGTGTTAGAGAACACCCTTATGTACTCAAATCTGTTTTTATTAATCTTTTAAAATCCTGGTTTGAAAGGTGCCAGTGACTTTCAGGGATGTGCACTGTCTGGGAAAGCAAAGGTCCTCTGAGACTGGCAGTTTTGTGGTGATGAGCTGAGAAACAGCTGCCTGAGCAGAGTTTCAGGAGAATGCAAACAAGGAGGGAGATCTGCTACAGCTTGTTTGGAGAGAGCATCACTGTGCTGTGGTTTTCCGAGGTTTGTTTCCCTTACAATTGTGACACTTTTGATTAACTCTGAAGTTTTCGATGGTGTCTCATTGTGAGATAAACTGAAGTGTAGAGCCTGTTAAAGACCTATTTCAGCTATTAAGTGAAGCTTAATTTGTAATGAGCTTGAAAGGAAAACATTTCTTGGAAAAAAAATATAATTAATCAGGGGCTATCAAGTCAAGCTTTTATGTGAGTCAAGTGTATTCGGCAGTGTGGCTGTTCTTGTGAGTTTATTTCTGTCATGTCTTAAACACCACACTTGTCACAAAGCAACTCCAATTGTGTCATTTCAAACTAGGATGTCACCTCTATTGTAGAAAACAACCTTTGTACTTTGTGCTTTTCAGGCCTTGCTGACAGAGCAGTAAAGCTACCACAAATCCTCTTTCTCTCACCTTGTGTTTTCACTCCACAGATGCTGGGGGCTCACTGAGCCATCACTGACCCTCCGCAGCAAGACTGTGCTGAGCAGGAGGGCTGCGGTGAGACTCTTCCTGCATCCTGCAGGAGCCTGGCACTGAGCGTGGCAAAACTCTCTGGGGGGTAACACAGGTGGGTGAAAAATGGGAGGGACATGTCTCCTTATTGATTTTGCATTAATGTTTGACACGTAGAGTAGGGATAATATTCCAGTTACCCTCAAGACACTCGCCATTATACAAAATAAATGTCAGCGCTTGCCTTCCGTAGTGCGCACAGCCTTCTAACACACGCAGTTAATTTGAAGATTTCAAAATTTTAGTTTGTCCATTCCTCTCTCTTGGCAAGGTACAGTTAATTAGTATGTTCTGAAATAATAATTAAAATGTAACCTCAGGGCTTTTTTTTCTGCTCCTTGTTGGTTTGGGGATTCTTAGAGCAAGAATAAACGTCCAGGCTTGTCACAACAAGGTTAAATGCTTAGGTTGGATCCATCCTGTTTTCTCCTGTTCTCTGCTCCAATTCTCCTTGCATCATTCAGCCTTTCTGTTGACTTCTTAGTAAAGGACCAGTTTCAGAGAGTCAGTACTGGAAAATGCTGATGCTGAGCATAGATTAATTTCTGATAAATCATGATTCAGTGGTTGGACAAAACATGAGTCTCAGGCCTCAGATTTGGAGATACATAGTTCTTATTTGTTTTTTTTAAACAATTCATATATTTTTCTGAAATTTGTTTTTAATCTACTAAGATTGCACTTGGGTGCAAGCTTATGTAATTATATTGCCTGTGAATGGTGCAGGTTTCATAGCTAGAGACTGAAATCACTTTTTAGTCCAACAAAGGTGCACAAAAAGAAGAGAGAAAGACACTTTTGCATTCTACTTTGTCATAGTAGGAAGGTTGTAGTGTGGGAACTCTCTGAGATTTGCAGAGAAAAGTTTTGCTCTTTTTTTCAGTCTTCTCCTGAGAATGGCAACTGTAAATGGCATTGTGGAGAACACTATCCACTGACACGTGGAGAGAAATGGCTAATTAACATACTTTATTGCCTAGAGAAATAATTTGAATAATGTGAAATAATTTGATAGTGGCTATTCTGAACCCAAAGGATGGGACTGGAAATGACCAGGGTGTGAGCTTTCTATAGTGATTGAAATCACCCAGACAAGCAGGAGCTGTGCAACTCATGCATGTAGATAGTACCTTCTGGGATGAGAACTTGATTTTTCATTGTATATTTTCTGGAGCTGTTTCCTCATTTCAGTGGCCTGTAATTTCTTATAGACTAAAAAAAAAAAAAAAAAAAAGATAAAAAATAAAGGTATAAATTGTTTTAGGAAGAAACTGTAGATACCAAATTAGCTGCTTGGAATAAATAAATTCTTTTTAGGAAACACAGAAATACTGACTTATTTGCTTAAACAGCAGCCACTTTGTGGTCTCTGTGCCTAGCATTGGGCAGGTAATATATTCAAGGCTTAAAGAACAAAGAGGTGTAAGCTTCATCTCTTCCCCTTTTATTCTTTTGAATTACTATACAGTAATTTATGTAAGTGGCTTCTTTTGCTCCCTTAATAACTACCTACTTTCCTTGCTGTGTTTTCTTGCATAGGATCACAGATGACTACATATCTACTTCAGTGATACCAGAAATGGACTAGATAACGTTAGATTTGTATACTGAGATATCTCCAAAGTATGTAAAAAAAGGGGGGGGGGGAAGAGAAAGATTATAATTTTTATGCTTGAAGAAATATAATACTGATTGCAAACTAGGGCAGTGGAGTGGTATTGCTTAAAACTGTGCTAGTATTTCATATCTTAATTTTAAAATGGTACTGCAACACACTGCACCAAAAAAAAAAAAATAAAGGAAATAAAAATTGACTTTTCGCTGTGTACCATTTTCAGTGTTCTTTGATTCATAAATATTTTAATTTGTTCCCTAGTAATGTGCCAAATCTAGAAACATACATTTTATTATTCAGAGTAAGTTTCTGCGCTTGATTTTAACTGGATATTACACTAAAAGTATTATTTATTTTTTTACTGACAATATGCTGAAGCGTGAACTGTATACCAAGTTAATTATATTTTTCTATTACTTACCCTGTCAAACACAAACTTTTTTCAACAGGATAGAAAACGTATTTTAACTTTCAGTAAGAAAGACAGACTCTTGCCCATTTTTTTACTTAATGATACTTTTTTATTCAAATATTTTCTAAGAAAAGAAAGTGAAGATTATTTAATGTTTTGGGTTTTTTTTCACCAAGGACAACAATACTGAGAAGAGCAGAAACTTCATGAGGAGTACATTTTTCTGTTCTTAGGAGATGCAAATACCATTTGTTTTATCATATTAACAAAGTTCTTATGTTGTGGATTATAGTCTGTTTATAGGTTCTGGCACAGAAAATTATTTTGAGATGCAGTTGAAGAAGTAAGCCTGTAATAGTTTATTATGTGAATTCCCATTGCTCGTTCCTATTGTGCAGGTAATGACTGGGGGCTGAGAGTGAAATGAAATTCCCCATCGGGTAGATACACACCCATTTATTACTGTTTCTCTGTGTACTGAGTTATAGACTAGTTGATAGCGAGAACCTCCGTAAGTTCTTAGCCTTTGACTCTGGATGAGTGAGGTAATCACATAACATAAATTGCCTCCAAAGAAAAAGCTCCTCTTCAGAAAGAGTTGTTGAAAGACTGTGGCCGCATGATTAATAAAAAGCAGAGGTAACACAGAATCCCTGATGTCTCAGGATGATGTAGTGAGACTTTGACTTGTCCCACAGGAAGCGGTTTTATTTTACTTATTTTCTTGCAACAAGTTTTGGATTTACTGTGTTGCCACAGGCAGCTGCAATGCTTTCAAGTATTGAGTACAAAATGGAAATAGCAACTCTACAGTTGATAAGTTGTTGGACATGTTTAGTGCCACAGCATGGCAAACCTACTTGGAATGTGTTACCTGTAACGTACATTTCTATTTTGTAGTACATCTGCTCAGGCTTCCTGGGCAGCTTTAACTAGTAAGGAATAATGTGCAGGGATGCTCATGCTCTGGTAATGTCACAATGCTGGCTATACGTTATGGGGAAATACTGAGGGCAAGTGTCAAATGAGGATAGTATTGCTTCAGTGAAAAAGGTCACTGTTGCTAATCGCTAGTGACAGACTTTGAATTGGTGAAGGGTATATAGTCAGAGGCTCATTGTTTCATTAATGACCGATGACATAATTCAGTAATATCATTTAAAATACTTAATAAGAAATCACCTATTCTTAACACATAATAACATCCCTATTATTCCAATGCCTTAGATTCCATGGGCAGCCCGGCCTTGGGGACAATAGCTAGAAAGTTTGGCTGGTAGTGTTTAACAATAGCCAGAGGAGCGAAGCCGCCCAGACTTTTTGAGATATGAGGAGCAAGGGAATCCCTCTGATCTGGTAGATCCCTATTGCTCACAGTTCACTGTCACTGTCTCTTTCAAAAGGAACCACTTATCTTCATAATACATTGCACTTCTTTATATTTCTTGCTTAACAGAAGTAATTTTTTTAATGTGTATGGAAACATGATGTTTATTTTTGTGACCCCTGGTTTTGAATAGCAACTAAGAACGTGTTTATGTGAAAAGTCCAACAACCTACTAAATATGTAGTTAATGAAACAATAATCTTTACAAGCAGTATGTATTGGGTAGGTGATGAAATGATTTAAAGGTAAGTCACACCACAAAAAGTGCAAAATTTAAGTCAGTGAGGTTTGGGATCTTTTAATTTGTTCAGGTGGCTTTAAGTTAGGCAGATATATATTTTTTATTTCCCATTTGAGAGCTTTATTAGGAAAAACTGCTGAGGCACAGTTGTAGTTTAAAACCAGTAGCACTTGGCAAGTGTTAAGTGCAGCAGGCAAGTGCATTTGTATATGTTGGCAATGAATAGGATAACTTCCTTCTTCATTGTTAACTTCATGGAATTTAACAGTGTGTTTACAGTTGCATATCATACTTTAGTTAGTCTTTCATGCAAGTCCAAAGAAAGTCAACCAGGAGGATCATCATTCCAGAAAAATGGAAAACAAAGACCACAAGTTGCAAGAATTATTCTGTTGAAGAAAAGATGTACGGTTTAGATTCAAGTACATGAAAGGTTGCTGCAAAGAGTAAAATAATAAACTATCGTCTTTGTCTGTGGGGAACAGCACAAGAATAATAATGCACTTAAATTGTAGTGAGAGAGATTTAAATTAGACATTAGGGAAAACTTTATAAATGTAAGGTTAGTGAAGGACAGTAGGTGATTTATTAGAGGTGCTGCAGCATCCCTGGTGGCAGTTTTGGGAATGAGCTAGGGAAACATCTGGAAGAACCGGGTTATTGATCCTTGTTGGGAGCAGAGGGGTGGTGAGATGGCTCCTGACATCCCTACACTCCCTGCCTCGCCCAGCTTTGTTTATATGCAGTGAGATTAAAAGCTCTGAACTTGTTCTTTACCCTGGACTGTTTTATGATTTTATAACTTATTTTACCCTTGTTAGGGTATAAGATAAGGTTTTAATATACTTGTCACTGGCAAGTTTCCATAGTTTTCTTTTCCCAAGACAGGTGTTGAGAGAATAGTCAAATCCAAACAAGATTTGGATGCAGTATGTATATTTAACGCTATTTAAACCCTGGTTTTGTATAATTTGTCAGTAGTCTTTATTCGTAACTTGTAAACAAAGTATTTTTTCTAATAATTTGAGACAAAAATCGCATATTGTTATTGTGTAAAACTGAACATCAGAAATTTATGGCTTAAGTTCTGTTTAAGGAAGATTTGCTGAAATTAACTAAAATGGGGATTGCAAAGTGTCCCATTTTTATACTTATATAGAAGCATAAACAAAGTCCCTTTTATTCAGAGTCTACATGGCATTACATCCTTTTCCAGATCAATTTAAACTTTTGTTCTCCAGAAGAAGTGTTATTTACAGTAAAATCCTACGGTATTCAAAGTAATAGAATGTGTCTGGTCACAGCTGATGAAGACATTGTTTTCTAGAATAGATGGTAAAGTTCATTGGAGCATTAAAGAGGGTATTCTTGGTATCTCATATGTAGATACAGTCTAGACA